GGGATCATTTTGAGAGTTAAGTTTCATTATCTCTTGTAATTTCCTGCATCATCTTGGTAACCTCCATCCAGTAAAGCTTAATGGTTTTATTATATAGATTGTAGATAGATAAGAAGCTGACCATTTCCATCATGCACCTATAATGTACACTACTAATATTTACAAATATTTCCCTTGTTGGCACTATTGTAATAGAGGCTTAAAGAAATTTTCTTTGAGAGTAGTATTGAATATGTAATTGACAAATCAACTACAAAACTTCAAAGGTCAGAGGCTAGATTGCTTATGGGAGCAGGATATATGGAAATAATTACTCCGCTCCTGAAGCAGCTACACTGCCTTCCAGTTTGTTTCCGGGCACAATTCAAGGTGCTGGCTTTAGCCTATAAATCCCTAAATGGTTCAGGCCCAGCTTACTTAAGGGACCACATCTCCTCCTACAAGCCCACATGAGCGCTGAGATCATCAGGAGAGGCCCTTCTCTCTGTCCCACTACCGTCACAAGCACGGTTGGTGGAAACGAAAGAGAGGGCCTTCTTGGTGGTGGCCCCACGGCTCTGGAAGAGGTGTGATGCCCTCTCTCTACTGGCCTTTCATGCACAAGTGAAAACCTTCCTGTAGAAGAAGGCCTTTCCTGATAGCCCATAATAGGGAATGACCAGACTGCTACAAGTAAGGCATATCGATGAAGGCCATCTCGGACCTGACAATGTTTACACGGCCTAAAGAAGCAGAGCTTTATGATTTTTAATATCATTTTTTATGGACAACCTCAGTAGTCTGAGGTCCAGGGAATTTTAGTAGAACATGTAGTATTTATTAACTTTGTTGTACATAGTTTATGTGTTATTTGTTTATCAGCTTTATTTTGCATTTGTGTCATGTAATTTCTGTTGTTTTAACTAACCATTGTTCACCACTTTGAGTCCCACCCATGGTAGAAAGGCGGGATAAAATAAATAAATAAATAAATAAATAATAAGCTTTCTGGTCTCTATGAAGAATTACTATTTAAAAAACACACTCCCATCTAAAACTCTATCCTTATGTCTTATCTTCCAGCTTTAAGCTGTCCATAATTTTCTACAATGCAACGACAGTTCCCCATCTCAATGGACACCTGGCTGGCAGAGTTGGAAGAGACCATAAGGGCCACCCAGTCCAACTCCTATGACAGTGGTTCCCTAGATGTTTTGGCCTTCAACTCCTAGAAATCCTAACAGTTGATAAACTAACTGGGATTTCTGGGAGTTGTAGTTCAAAATACCTGGGGACTCACAGGTTGAGAACCACTGCCCTAAGCTATGTAGGAAAGCCCTTGAGTGCAGATCTCATTACACTTTTCTACCATTTCCAACCTCTATTACACGTTTCCACTTTTCTCACCATTACAAACACCATTGCTAATTCCCACTTATTTCATATCGTGCATTTCCTCCTACTGCTAAAAGGAAGGAAAGAGTGACTTGACTGGGACCAAACATCCCATATGAACTCATGAGAAAAACACGCAGAGAGAGCTACAGATCCTCATAAAGATCACTGTTCCACTGGGAACAGAAAAAAAGACTTATCACTTTTCATCAACTGAAGACATTGTAGGGGAATATGTCTCTCTGTATGTGTTTCTTTCTCTTTTCTCGTCCAATATATTATATGAACCTCTTGGCTAAAAAGGCTCAGCACCCACGGACCATCAGATTAAAGCACTAATGGCTGCAACATGTGGTTCACTTCATATTTCAATGTGAAACAACTTGATTAATATTTCCTGGACAAAGACATGAGAATGAAGTTATGCCTCATTTTGTATCATTCTCGAACTTTTGGGACATACTACTTGGTTCAAAAAACTATCTAAATATGCATAAAGATGCATATTTTATGTAAAATAAAACCTTACTAATATATGTTTTCATACATTTTTTAAAATTTGTGAATTCATGAGAAAATGTCGTAGGAAATATATGAACAAACAAATACAAAATCTGAAATAGAATTGATATATTTTATCTTTGTTGACTTTTTTTTCCATGTCAGGAGCGACTTGAGAAACTGCAAGTCGCTTCTGGTTTGAGATAATTGACCATCTGCAAGGATGTTACCCAGGGGATGCCTGGATGTTTTACCATCCTATAGGAGGCTTCTCTTATGTCCCCACAAAGGAAGCTGGAACTGACAAACAGGAGCTCACCCTGATCCCTGGATTCGAACTGCCAACTTTTTGGTCAGCAGTCCTACCGGCACAAGAGTTGCGCCACTGGAGCCAACTGGCAACTAACAATATGTTAACATGCATTAACAATATATTTGAAAAGGTACTGGTCAGAGGATCCTGGCTAAAGAGCATAAAGCACCCCAGGGTTAATTTAAGCAGCCAGTCAAACAAAAAAAAGCATGACAAATAAAAAGGCAGCCTGATAACATAAGTTCCGGGTCCTAGGTCTTAAGAGAGAATACTGAAGAAAAAAGTAGACAAAATCAGAGAAGACCAAAGGTTCAGAAAAAGGATATATATATATATATACACACACACACACACACACACACACTGTCCAATTTTGAGGAGGGGCTTATGGACAGATGCTGAAATAGCTTCTGTCTATAAATATCAATCAAGTCTGCCAGCAGAAGATTGTTCCAGGTAGTCATGAGCCGAATGAGTGAAATATTTGAGATAACTTTTACAACACAGCATCCTTTTACTAATTTCCTGGCCAGCAGCAGACTTTAGATTTAGATCTTTCTGAGTTTTTTTAAAGTGGGGCAGATGTAGGAATGGTTTGTTTGAGTTTAACAGAGAACTGAATTATGATAAGAAAATGCTTCGTTCCTTAACGAGAGCAAATATTGTCAGTGAAATGCCTTGACAATATTTAGACTTGTAGATAAATTAAACATATTGATATAACTCTTTTTAAAGTAACAAACACATCTACTTGAATGTGTGTGTGTGGTGTTCTTTTAAGTCTGTAGCCTAGAACTGTATTACCAATTCTCTGCTAAGATTCAGTTTTAATTGGAATTTTAACAGTAACAGTGGCAATACAGGCACTAAGATACATTTAGCAATTAGTACTTGTGGGTTCATAGACACTTCATTGGTGGAAAGTTATGTACCAAAGGTAAACATTTGTTCATATACACACATATTCATTCCCTTCACTTACTCCCTTTCATTCCCTTACATGTAACATCTCTTCGGGTTGATGGGGGAAATCCTCTCCCCATACCCTTTTCCCTTTCTTACCATGGAACACATTTGGGGTACAAGCAATTGCCTGAGATGAAGGGAAATAACATATAAGATCCCACAAAACTTATACAATGTTAAGTACAGTTGAGTCTCGCTTATCCAACCTTTGCTCATCCAACATTCTGTATTATCGAACGCAGTCTGCCTCCTGCCTAGATGCACAGCTGTTTCAATACATTGCAATGTTTTGGTGCTAAATTTGTAAATACAATTAATGACTACATAACATTACCGTGTATTGAACTGCTTTTTCTGTCATTTGTTGTAAAACATGCTGTTTTGGTGCTTTATTTGTAAAAACATAATGTAATTTGACATTTAATAAGCTTTTTCTTAATCAACAACAACAACAACATTTTATTTATATACCGCTCTATCTCCCCGAGGGGACTCAGGGCAGTTTCCAAGTAACATCATCAATACATACAAAGTAAACAACATAAACATAAAGTTAGCAAGACAATATCAGCATAAAAAATCACAATAACACATATATACTTAAAATAATCCTGCCTGCTCAAGGCAATTTAAAAAGGCCAGGCCGAGGCTAGTGCAATTTGTAGAGGGCCCGGGAAATTAGGTGCAATGCTAACAGGCAATAACAATAACAGGTAAAGTCTATGGCTGTTCATTTCCAGGGCCTAATAGGAGGAAGTGATCAGGGTAGTTGGTAGAAAAAGATATGGCCATATTCAACAGTATCTGGGGCTGAGCTAGAACTAGTCGTTCTCAAAGGCTTGTTTAAACCACCAGGTCTTCAAGTTCTTATGAAAGGAGGGGAAAGGTGTTCCAGAGGTGGAGAAGGCCCTCTCTCTCATCCCCACCAATTGTGCTTGTGATAGTAGTGGGAGCGAAAGGAGGGCCTCCCCAGAAGATCTTAAAGTTCCCTCCTTATTATCCAACATTTTTGCTTATCCAACATTCTGCCGGCCCATTTATGTTGGATAAGCGAGACTCTACTGTAAGTGGCTGGTCCATGACATTTTGGAAATAATAGCAAGATGGGTAGATATCTTCCAACACATCTGTATTTTAATTGTCTCACCTCATTGATACAACTCACACAATAGCCTTTAAAAAAGTCAACCATTAACTGTTATAGACAAATGCTTGGGTCCACGTACTATGGTGGAAATAGGAACCCAGTTGAATCAATACAATTTATAGACCTAAAGTGTTTAAAACAACAAACATCCGACTTACAAATGACCCGTAGTTAAGAATGGGGGTGAGACAACAGGAAATGAGAGAAATCTATCCCTCAGAAGGGAAATGCATTCCTGGGGGAAAAGGTGTCCCCACTGAAGCTTTCTCACCAATCCTTGTTTCCACAAGCCAATTTTTTCAAAATCCAATTATTACAGCGACAGAAAGTGAGGTGAAATCTTCTAAACAGGGGCACAGACAGCAAAATAAACACCATAGGGGTGTTAACCCTTCCCTATAGCACAAACACACACACACACACACGTATATGGCTGGAGTGACACTTTAAAATGTACCTGTTTTGACTTATATACAATTCCAACTTAAGAAAAAATCTACAGAATCTATCTTGTTTGTAACTTGGGGACTGCCTGTTGATGGTGAGGCAGAAGACTTGGATTTTAGGGGAAATAATCTGAAGAGTTTTCTACTTTTGGGAGGGAATAAAGCTGATGAGTTTCAAGAAGGAAAATGATTCTATGAAACCTGGGAAGTATCTACATACTGGTACTTTACTGATACAATGAAAAGCATGTACCTTATAGTAGTTCCTTGCAATCGGTCGATTTTCTTATTTAGCTCGGCAATAATGCTATGAAGCTCCGTGATCCGTTCCTCATAGCGAAGCGTTGTCCGCTCTTGCACATCTTCATGTTCTCTCATTAGGTGGGACTGTTCACACTAAAGTACAGTTGAAGAAGAGAAAGACACAGAATGGGTACGATGCAGGACCATGTGGAAATTGTATTCAAGGCAATTATTTTGACACTATCTCCTCCTCCTAAACATCTGAGATTTTGAATAAGCAATAAAACAAATCTATAAAATCGAACAGTTGCAGCAGAATACAAGTCTTTAAAATGTTGCTTTTTATGTTGCTGCAAGAGATACACTAAAATTATATAAGGAATCATATAAATCTTGAAATTTTGGTACCAAAATGTCTTGTCTTATAAGATCTAGAAATTCTCCCTTGCTATAATATTAAAAGCAACATACTTATATTAATATATGAAACGTATCTGCGTGAAGTTTGAATCCAAACCTGACGCCATAAAAATATATAATCCTGAACACACCTGATCTTAATTGATTTTGGAAGCTGGTGGGTATTTGGACAGGAGACAACTAGCATCTCCAAGGAAGGTCAAAATTGACACATAAAAACAACAGCAACAATGACAAGAAATGTACAGACTTGTTAGCCTAAATCACTTTAAAAGTTACTGTAATCTATTGCTTCACTCTTGTATCGCACCATTGTATTCCAATGTTTCTGAGCACATATTTCCCAATATTATGGTCTTGTGTACTGCACAAATATTGCTCTAGAAAATCAGACATTGCACCAATACTTTGGAAAGAAACACATATACATTATTCATCTTCTGTTTTCTCACAAATTTACAGCCCCGATCCATCTAATTTTCTTATTTAAGAACAAAACAATTATTTTTTTAAAAAAATTCACAGAATCAGTCTGTTTCTAAGCACAAGTTACTAATTCTAGTATGTGAACTAATTTTGATACAAGCTGACTCAGAATTTTATTATCTTCTTGATCTAAGGAATGGGAAGCTTGTTAGCATTAGTCTCTCTGGCTACCTTTTCAGAAATTCTGCAGTGCTAACATAACAAGGGATATAAAATGACATTTGTTCAAACACTACTAAATATTTAAGATTTGAAGGTTGTTCAGCAGTGGAACTCTCTGCCTTGAAGTGTGATGGAAGTTCCTTCTTTGGAGGCTTTTAAAAGGAGGCTGAATAGCCATCTGTCAGGGGTGCTTTGATTGTGCTTTTTCTGCATGGCTGTGGTTTGGACTAGATGACCCATGTGGTCTCTTCCAACTCTATAATAATGATTCTATGAGAGGAGGCAGGTCAGAATGCCTGTGCTCTGGCACCTTGAGAATATGTGGGCAACTCTATTATAAAATGGGTGGAAACAACTGGCATATAAGTGGGCCCTCACTGGCATTTTATTCTTAGGCAGAGTAAGAAAGCATCCACCTGAGTAATCTAATATTTTTCTGTCTACTGCTTCTTCATAATAACCTATCCTTATTTTAGGAAGAATAAGAGCACATCCTGACTGAAACTAAAAACTATTATGACCCAGACAAATCTGAAGTCTGTTTTAGTCCTATGCAGATGCAACCAGGTTGAAAAGCAGTAAAAAGATAATAATAAACCCAATTTGGAAAAGTACAGACATATTTAATGTAACAAAACCTCGGACAATGAAGCTCCATTTTGACAAAGTCTTTTTAATGCCCACTTTTCTTTCTTGTCTAGTTGCTGCCTATTTCCCCCCTAACAACACCAACCTAGGGAAGATGTTTGAAGTAAACAATGCAACAAAGCAACAAGGTGGGATTTTGCTCTACTCAATCCTCTTATAGCTATGTGTGGTCCTTCCTACAACAAGCAGGATAAACAGCAGCTGTCTCCAGAACTGAATATGCTGAAAGAGCAACACAGGGAGAAAAGGGGAGAGCAAATGAGCCTGCCTCCACAACTAATATTTATTTATTTATTTATTTGGAGCATTTCTATCCCGTCCTTCTCGCCTCTGAAGAGAGACTCAGGACGGCTACCAAACAAGGAGCAACATGGAGAAGAAACGTTTGTCAAAAACAAAAATCTTCCCTTGATATATTTTGGAAAAGGTTTCAAGTGGTCTCTACATGGTTCAAAATGTTTTTGTTTTACTTATGCATGGCTCACATGGTTGTTTCATTTCAATGTACAAATTCATTTTAAATAAAATGTTTGTTGAAACTTGTTGAACTCTTGTTCCTTTCCTATCCTATTCTTTCTGTGTCATTTCTGCCTCTGGTACTGAAGTTTCTTATAAAGAATCCATGCCCAGAAACACATTGACTTTGTTAACTGAGCTACATACGCGAATGAGTAAGATAAATAGTTTTTGACCAAACTTTCATAACATTCCCCTGCTCAATATGCTCAAACAAATGAGTCAGCTTTGCTATACATAGCCGTTAGGTTTAACATATTTGATGACTATCTTTAAAGTGTGTCATATTTCTATTGGTTAAAAATGTCTGAAGCATTAAGAGTAAAGAGTGTGTGTGCATGCTGAATAATGACTAACCTGTGCCTTTGCCAATTTCTTTTCCAACAAATCTCTCTCTCGTTCTGTTTGCTGCAGACGTTTATTAAGTTCAACGATGTCTCCTTTCAGAGATGCCAGTGCTGCTAAGTGTAGCTGTAACACATAAGCAAAATACAGCTAAAATTAAATGTTGTCTACAAAATGTACCCGTTCCTAAGACTTATTTTGGAACTTCATAGAAAATAAAAGTGACTGAAGCCAGGTGTGAAGGTTTACAGTTTAGAATATTTAAATCAAGAAGAAGAACATACAACTACACAGTATTAAACTGCTTCCACTTCACATTTCAACCTTCACTTCTTATCAGAATATAGAAAGTTGGGCTTAAACACAATGGATTTTTTAATGTATTTATACCCCCGCCCTTCTCACTCCAAAGTGGACTCAGAGCGGCTTACAGAACACACATATGGCAAACATTCAATGCCAATTATACAATTAACAAGGACAGACAACACAAACAGAGGTAAAGGCAAATTTCCCCATCTTCTTTTTGGCATCTTGGAGGCTATGCTTGACTCTGGCTACGGAGGGGAATGCTGTCGCTCCATCTTCCATGCCAAGGAGCTTTCCTCCAAGTGATGTCCTTTTAAGGGCGCCTTTATTACCACCCCACTAAAAGCAGTACCTATTTTATCTACTCGCATTTCTGCTTTCAACCTCCTGGGTGGGCAGGTGAGGTGGGGCCAGCAGCAGGTGCTCACCCTGCCTAGGCTCAACCTGCTAACCTTCCAACTGGCTGGATTTTTCTGCAGCACAACAGTTTAACCTGCTGTGCTAAGCCCAGCTTAGAAACTAGAAATCTTGAAGCACTAGTCTTCTGGCATGACTTTATATTAATTTGATTCATTTTAGGCTATTAAATTGCACAGTATATTCCAGGTCACTTTTACTCAAATGAAATAGTACCCCCAGAAAGGTTTGACCAAAGACAAGTATTAATAACATATATTTAGAAACAAGCATTTACAAACAAATGAATTGAGGTATGGAGTTTTAGATACCAATTTGTAACTTGAGCCAAAATTCGAGGAAATTTATTTCCTCAGGTATCACAGCAGTTAAACTATTTTAAAATAATCAAAACATGAACCAAAAACTTAAGCCATAAACCTTTCCCCCATGTTACTTATGAAACAAAGACAATTAAATTGTTTGGAGTTTTTGAAAATGAAACACTCATTTCTACGCATTTTTCAGATTCTGATGTTACATCTAGTGTACACAGACCATCCTATACAGACTCTATTTCATGAAGGCATATGCTGTTGGATATAGTAACCTTCTTCAAGCCTCTACTAGTTATTTGTTATGCATATAATTCCGATTTCTTACTGCATTGTGTATATGTGTGTATTGGTGTGCAGTTTTCCTTAAACTCTTTGTTGTGGGAGGGGCTGAGGACCATGTGACCAGATCTGGGAATACTCAGACTCAGACTCCATTTTAGAAGTCAGTGTGTGTTTGCATCAGAAACAGTACAGCGCAGTTTAGAAGTCTGTAGAAACAGAATGCTTTAGAGAACAGACTCTATTAGACTCTCAGACCGGAGAGAAGCTTTGGACTTTGGACTGTTAAGATTCTAAGAAAGATGCCCCATGTTACCTGCACAGAGAACGACTTCAAATCCTATCTGTAACTGGATTGACCTGTATGGTGAAAACATGAAGTTTGTGAGTAAACCAACTATGTTACTTTTAAAGAAGTCTACTTATTTTTGGTCTCTTGAGAGAATGATTTAGAAACAATGTATTTTATGGGAGAATAGATGTTTTTGGGCAACTGAAATAACACTTCTGAAACTCTGCTCTCTCTATATACATGTGTGTGTGTGTGTGTGTGTGTGTGTGTGTTTGTGCATTGGCATATTTTTGTCCCTAACAGTTCAAAGAGATATCTGGGATTTTAGTTTAACAGCTGAGAAACCTGGGTTGACTTGTATGAATGCTGGTGGATGTTTACCACAAAGGAGAAGATTGACTCAAGTGTATTTTTAACTCTTTTCAGGAGATTTCTGGTCTTCCTAAATGGTAATGAATGAAATTTTCGAAAAGGTTATGTGACCAGTGGTTTTCCAAAAGGTTATAATTTCTGCCAAGGTCATGCCTTTCCAAAAGGTTATGGAGAGTCACATTTTCCAAAATATGCACCCAAGATAGTCAGATAAAATGAAATTCAAAGCTCTAGAACAGAAATCAGGCAACTCTCTTAAAATATGGACACAGATTAGCTCCTACCAGTGCTAGTCTTACTACCTGAAAAGCCTTGTGAAAACTTCCAATCTCATCTCTTTTTCTAGGACACAACTATTATGTAGTTTATTATTGAATGAAGGCATTGCCTCAGGGCATTCTTTGATCAGATATCTTAACTAACAGCTTTAAATTAATGGTGATAGATGACATATGCAAGTTCTTTATTTTTGATGTTTAAATTAACATCAGTATACCAAATATTAATGTTAAAAGGCTTGGCCCAAGTTACCGGGCCAACTTACCGAGGTGGCCCCACCCCGCCGCTGGAGTGGCCAGGGCCTAATAGCAGACACAGTGCCTGCTCCAGCTTTTCCTTCCATGACAGGCTGTTTTGGATTTTTGTTAGCCTGGCTTTTGTGTTAACCTGTCACAACTCCACGTTTGACATGTGGCATGGGCCCTGGACCTGGCTGGTTTATATCCCCCTAGAAGAAGGGGGAAAACGTCTGGTGGTCCCAGGGGTGCCAAGTTAACGTTGACCAGTATTGTGCCGGTGGCACCAAGGCATGTTAAGCGGTATTGGACAGCAGCAGGCTGCGCGATCCCTGATCCAGGACCCATGCATGGCTGCCAACCCTTGTTCCTGTAATCAATAAACGAGTTGTGGCCATTTATGATCCCAAAAATTGGTGTGAGTGTCTTCTTGGGTTGGCTGGTGGGATGTGTTTCGCCCATGCACACGCAACATACAATTCCAGAGAAAAACCTGGAATTATCCCACTCCATGGAAACATGTGGACATTTTATAGGGGGGTCTCTGGCAAAATTTCTGTATATTTCATGAGCATTATGAAATATTAGCTTTGATTTTGAGAAAAGTTGGCAATCCAGAGACAATTTTGGTATGAATAGCATGAATTGCCTATGCAACATCTTGTTGAAATTTCTTGGATAATAAGCAATCATTTGTAACCCACTGAGTGAGCATACAGTACTTCTTTTACTTTATTGTTTTTTTTCCCCAATAATTTTCTTTTTCTAAAAGTAAACTGTCCAGCCTTTATTTATTTTCAAAAGAAAGCCTTACTTTTAAAATAAAATAGAGACAGTAGCTGCAAGCAACTTGGACATGTTCTTAGATTCAACAAAGTGAAGTCTATACAATCAAGCCAGGATAAGCAGATGGCATACAAAGCACTGATCCTAATCTAAAAGAAGAGTCAACATAGATAAGAGCAGCTTTATCAGTCAAAGGTTTTGTTTTGTTTTTCTTGCATGGATATCCAGGTGTGGCCTCTGAAAAATATTTAGCCACCTGGAAACACTGCGCTGGATGGCCTTGCACTAATGTAATGGCTGAGGAAACAACTCTAATTGTTATTATTAACATATTAGTCTTTAAAACGGGCTGAGCTCTATTGGCATCCCACCCAACACCCACCCACCCACCCAAAGCTATTGTGAAATATGTCCTTATCACTTCATCAACAAAATGTAGTGACCAGCTGACCCCTCCATACCACAAACCTTCTTTTGAAAAGCAGAGATGCTTGTTTTAAAGGGATATTTACATTCCGTCACAATTTCAGCAGCAATCTTAGGGTGCATCCAGACAGCCCCTTTAACGCAGGAGTTCCCTTAATTATAAGGGGGCTGTCCAGATGATGTCCTAGACAAACACTCATTCATTTGCCTCAAACCAGGAAAAAGTAAGGTTGCTTACCTGTAACCATGTTTCTTCTAGTGGTTAACTGTGAAATTCACACCTGTGGTATTTCCCTGCGTCCACGCAGCTGACTCGGATCTTTCTTGAAAGCTTTTCCTAATTAGGGACTCCAGCCCCGCCCATCTACTCCTAATAAAGCCAGGCAGCGGGGCTTGGAGCCTTAGTTCCGTACCGCGAAAGACAGTCGGAGATAAAAGGCATGACAGAATGTGGGGAGGATGGGCGGGTTGTGTGAATTTCACAGTTAACCACTAGAAGAAACATGGTTACAGGTAAGCAACCTTACTTTCTTCTGCGTGGTACTGTGAAATCCACACCTGTGGTAGACTAGCGAGCAGTCCCACGGATGGTGGGTGTCATGCTGGTGCAGAAAAAAGTACTGCTCTCCCAAAAGCCGTCTCCTTCTTGGCAGCTAAATCCAATTTATAATGGGAGACAAAAGTATGCGGTGTTGACCATATGGCCACCCGACAGATATCATCCAGAGGCACACTGTGCAAAAAAGCCATGGAGGCTGCCAATGCTCTAGTGGAATGAGCATGGATCTGAACAGGTAAGTCCAGTCCTGCCATTTCATAAGCTAGCCGGATAGCTGCAACTATCCAAGCCACCACTTCTGGGTAGAAACAGGAAGGCCCACAGTATCCCTACGGTACTTAACAAAAAGTCGTAGTGAGTTCCGTAATGGAGCTGTGCGGTGGACATAAAAAGCAAGAGCCCTCCGCACATCAAGAAGGTGCAAAGACTGCTCCAGGGGAGTAGAAGGATTTGGAAATAAGGTTGGAAGGACAATGTCCTGAGACATATGAAACTATGATGCTGCTTTAGAGTTCACCTATTATTATTATTATTATTATTATTAACTTTATTTGTACCCCGCTAGCATCTCCCGAAGGACTCGATGCGGCTTACACAGGCCGAAGCCTCAAACACAATACAGTAAAACATAACACACAATAACAAAGCAAATCAACAAAAGCAAAATAACGACAATGGCAATACATCAAAACATTATTAAAACTGGTTCGGCCGGCGCACTGGGGTACTAGGGTTAAAAGTGCTGAAATGGCAGGAGGCACGTAGGTTTAAAAGTGCGGTGTGCAGCAACGGTTTGTTAAACTAAAGTGCTACTAGGACTTGGGTGGGGATTCCTAGTCTGGGAAAGCACAACG